AGTCTTGGAACAGTATTTAAGGTGTACCATCAACTACCAACAAGATGATTGGACAATCCTTCTGCCATTGGCAGAGTTTGCTTATAATAATACGGTACATTCCTCCACGCAACAAACACCTTTCTTTGCCAATTATGGCTATCATCCACGACTTGATACTTTTGATTTTTCAAAAGTTAATAATCCTGCAGCAGAAGATATGGCAAATCGGTTGTCAGAGTTACATGCAATAATGAAGGCGCAGTTGAAGAAAGCTCAAGAACGACAAAAGATAAATGCAGATGTATATCGTAAAGAGCAACCACAACTCAACGTGGGTGATAAGGTATGGCTACTTCATCGCAATATCAAGACCACTCGACCTTGTGACAAATTGGACTATCGTAGGCTTGGCCCTTTTTCTGTTTCTGAACAGATCAACCCAGTTGCATATCGGTTACATCTACCGGAGTCAATGAAGATCCATCCTGTATTCCACGTGTCTCTTCTTGAACCATATAAGACAGTGGATATACAAGGAAGAAGACAAATGCCACCGCCTCCTATAGAAGTAGATAATAATGAAGAATTTGAGGTGGAAGAGATATTAGACTCAAGGCGGCGCCGAAATAAGCTGGAATATCTTGTTCATTGGCGCGGATATGATATTAGTGAGCGCACATGGGAGCCATCCAGGAATCTAGCAAATGCATCAGCTAAAGTCAAAGTTTTTCATCAACGACATCTATCAAAACCAAGATGAAAACCTCTCTTATAAAAGAGACAAGATTGAGGCAAGTTAACATTCAATTTCCTATCCTTGTTTGTAACTTCTTTGCATTTGTGACGCTAATTAGATGGAGAGCCAACAACCAGCGGATTCAACTCAAGAACCTTCGTTTGTTGACTTACCGGATGAGACATTGCGATTGTCACAACCTTCAAGACGACGCAACCGAGATGAAGACCCTCAAGAACGACATGTTCTTCCTCGAATAGATGTTATGAAGGCCTCAACAGTGATCAAATAACAGGGTGGTCTTCTCACCCTGGAATGGGACACCATCGATGGCTAAGAGGACCCATCAACTATCTTCGAAGAGAACAAAGATCAGAGTATGTAGCAAATACAATTCGCCGCATATTAGATTTTCTCAATATATAATCACCGCTCCTCGTGGAACTCGTCCCTAAAAGGGGGGGTAATGTCACGGACATACATATAATTACCTATATGAATAGATAAAAGTATGTAAAAGTAGATAAAAGTAGGTTAATTGTGTAATATCTTCTAGAGTAGCTTCTTAGAAGCTTCATAGACGCTGCTTTGACTTTATAGGAGTCTATAGTTGACTTTTAGGCTAGAAACTTGGTCAACAAGTTAGCCATGTGCCACACATGTTGGAAGCTTAAAGAACAAGCTAACTACGTGGTCCATCCATAGAAAACTTGCCTTGCAAGCAAAGGCATGTGGCCTAGAAAGTCAACATATATTGGAGGTCTTATAGAACATCGCCATGTGGCTTCTAGTTAGATAGTATATATAGAGGCAAGAGTGAAGCCCTCTTCACTCTTGTCAACTCCTTTCTTGCTTCTAGTCCAGGTTCAAGAGTCTTTAGTTTCTTGTCTTGCGGCAATAGCCATTCCAGTTTCCTTTTAATATACATACTTGTTTATATTTTGACTTATTATATCGAGATAGCCTTTTGGTGTATATTTTTCCTCATCGAGTCTTTGTCCTTGATATTATGTGGCAGTGATGCTTCAATTCTGTAACTAAACTATCTCAAAATAATTCCTTATAATAGATTTTGACTTAATTCAATTACTTAATTTAATCAAATCTTTTATTTTTTTTCATTTCTAACTAGGTTTGTTTTTTCTAACTCAAAAAATATATTATTTGGAATCCATATGTTTCTCAAAAAAAATTTAATAATAAAAATTATTTTCATATTTCTTGTTATATTTTAGTAATTAGAATTTTGAATTTTCTTTGAATATATTAAAATTTGATAAGGTCTAAGTTTAGAATTTGATAGGATTTAAAATTTAAGATTTTTAGAATATAAGATTTAGGATTTAATAGGATTTAGATTTTATGATGGATAGAATATAAGATTTAGGATTTCTTAAATTTAAAGTTATTAGAAAGATTAAAGTTGTAAAAAAATAGATGCTAGAAGCATCTTATTCTATTTTTTTACAAGAACAATTGATATTAATATTATAGCAAAGTAACTATAACTTTAAATAAAGGTTTTTTTTAGTCAAAGATATATGCACTATGAACAATCAAGCCACCAAATATGTTTAAATCGTGTATTATTCATGTGTAAAATAAAAAAATATATCCTAATGTAAATGCAAAAAAGACAATGTTATTTGTAAAAGAAAACTAACCATACCTACTTCAAGTATTACTCAAGCATTCCACTAATTCAAGCCAATTATTAATTCTAGAAACATCATGTAGAAGTCCAAGAACCAACGATCTTTTCATCCAAACAACGACATTCGTCCAATTCAACCACCAATATCGCATGGTCTCATTCTAAGCGGCAAATGCAAAAAGAATCCCGCAGTTAGCAATCAGCTTGCCATACTCATGCATGAGTAGCCGTAGAGATCTTGGGCCATGCACCCACACGTGGAGCTGTGTTCTGAGCCGCTTTTGTGATGCCGAGAAGTAGGCTGGATGCTTTCCATCCCTCTAGCTTATGAATGTTTCATTGATATGTATCCTGACGCTCAGAGGCTCAGTGTGGAGTTTGGTGTTGGACGTGGCTCCGCATTTTGGGAGTTTGGTGATTTTGTGTGCATGCCGACACTGGACTTGCTTTGTGAAAAGTGGCAAGTGTTGCGGTTATGCATTGCGTGTTTTGTCGTAACGTAGTTGTGTTTGTGGAAGCTGGGCAAGCGAGAAGCATACGGTGGTCACTAGATATAAGTCGAAGCAGGCAAGGTGGGGACCAAGAAGAAGCACAGTAATAATATACACTACGCTGTAAATTGATTTAAGGCCTGGGCCAGAAGATTGGAACTTGTGGTGATAAAGCGCAAGCGTAAGTGTCAGGTATAGATATGCTGTGATAGTATATAGATCTACTGTGATAGTATCACAAAATAAGCTCTCCAGAGACCTTGGAAACATGAAGGTCTCCTAATACCGTGTTCATGCCTGAGTAGTTAACGGGCATGACCAGAAACCATGTGGGCTTTGCCCCCTCAGGTTTGAATTCTTTTGAGCACACACTTCTTTTGGTTCTGTTTTTTACCTTTGGATCTCTCTTCCACTACTTGATACCATTCACTCATGTTTGATGTCACCCATGGCAACCACTCAAACCTCAGTGTATATATAAATTGTCTTTTTGATCCTTGCTTCAAGTGGTCATTGACTCTCTCATCTCCACTTAATTTTGGCTCCATAGTCTGTACCAACAAAACAACTACAAACCTTTTATCATTCATTTTACAACTAAAGAATATATATATATATATATATACAAAATAAAAAAATTTAGCTAGAAGATAAAGAGATAATGAAATAAAGAAGTCTTCTCTTTGGCCAAAAGGCATATGTTGCCCTTCATAGTGTGAAAATATATGTTGTTCTTTCACAATGTCAAAATGGATGTTGCTCTTTCACAATGTACTTTTCCAAATGCAATCGAGATTATTTTTCCAAAAATATTAAATTAAAAAACAACATAACAAAATGTAGTTTATTCTAATGTTTAATTAAACTAACTATTCTAGCTATTGTAGTATATAAGATTTTTTTTTTTTAATAACACTGAAGAAATACTTCGAATTTTATTTGATTTCATTAGATAATTATTTTAAAAAAATGAAACTTTGTTCAAAGTGATCAATTTTTAACTTAGCAACTAAACATTAAATTTTAAGGATTTTTTGTCCAACATCACAAGTTTCTACTTATTAAACTATAAAAAGAAAATGAAGAAGATGTATTTTCAACTATTTTTTGCACCATTGCTATTTGTCTCTACTTCATTGCACCATTGTTCTTGCATTTTATCCACATTAATAGCCTTTTGTATTAATCAAGTTTCAAAGTATAGCAACATCTTCATAAACAATTAATTTTGATATAATAATGTGTCTTATTAGTTTCATGCATCAAAAACTTTATTATTTTATGATTTATAACTGCAAACACATTTTTCACTCACATTACATATCAAACACAAAAAGAACATCCAAAAAGGTTAGCCAATCTTTTTCTAATGACTGAAGCATTACAACATAAATGGAGTAAGTGTAAAAATGAAAGAAAAATATTCCCATATAGAAAACTAGAAATGAGGAGGATTCCGGGCGTTTTCACATAATTTGGCCCTAAAATGGAATTTAAATAAATATTTTAGCTGAAGATTATCTTTGACCCAAATCTGACATATAGGTCTTGGATTCCATCCCAACCTGATTCCGACCCCAACCAATCAACAACTATCACCTACATGGGAACATAGTCACCTATGGTTTCACAACTGATCATAAACTAATTGGTCATAAACAATTGGACACCTACACCTACAGGGTTTAGGATGCCACGCTTGCAAAAATATCCCCCTGAAATAAATCGGAATGGGGGGTTCAGAATGGGTCCGCTATCTTATGAGTAATGAACATAAAGAGTAAAGTACATAAAAGGAAACTTTTCCAGTCGGGTAATACGGCTCAGATTCCTAAGAGATGGAGATGTTCAAGCAACCTCATGAGCGCCAAGGTCCAGGGACACTTGGCAATTCGTCGGCAATCTTATCTTGCAAGGATTCTTTCACAAATCCTGAAAGTGATCACTGCAAATCTTGACTCTCGCGAGATATGAGTCAATGCGGCGATGCGTATGTACCTCACAACTTGCGTTGTTCGTGGGACGACTCCACCGCAATTCACAGAAGCTAGATTCTCGTGCGCACACAGATGACAGATGCAAAATCCTCAAAAACACCATATCCGTGAATTCTGTTGATTTTGGGACTCATCGCGAATAAAACCATTGGTTTTTGATGGCTATAACCTGTGAAAGATAACGAATTCTTGTTGTGGCCATGGTTTGAAAATGCAGAGGAACTGCAGCAGTGATGTGCTGATCACCGGTTGAAAGAAGTTTTTGCACACCTCTGCTGGTGGTTCTGTTGTTGCTGTTGAGTTTGCAGGTTTTGGTTCCAGGATGGTGGAGGAGTCGTGGTTGTGGGTTTTGTTTGTGGGAGCATTGAGCTTCAGCATTCTGTTGCAGTGGGGTTTGAATAGGAAGCGCAAGTTGAAGCTTCCGCCTGGCCCGACTGCATGGCCAATCGTTGGATGCGTTTTCGGTCTGCCGAGGTTGAACCCACCTGAGAAGTTGTTCAACAAGCTCTCGGAGAAGTATGGGGAGCTCATGCTTCTGCAGCTGGGGTCGTGGTCGATAGTGGTGACGTCTAGTGCCAGGATGGCTATGGAGATTCTCAAAACACACGACAACGAGTTTGCGAACCGCCCGGACGTTATCAGTTCCCGTCTTAATTTCAATAACACGGGTCTGATTCAGATGCACAGCACTAATCCGCTTTTCAAAAGAACGCGTCGCATGTTTAGTGCAGAGATTGTATCACCAAGAAAAGTTTTGGAGACGGGCGTCATAAGGAGAAAGCAGGTTGGTGTGACATTCTGCGAGCATAAAATTGTGATGCCTCTCATTCTGTGTAGAAGTTTCCAGCTACTTTGGAACTCGTGTTCATCGTGCAAAGAAATATGATCTTCGATTCTGGCCCTCTCATCATTTTGTTTATCTTGGTATGTATAGACTCTCAGAACGTTGCGCTCCATAGTCCAAGATTTCGATGCTGGTCGGAGCGTGAACTTCACTCATGAGATGAAAACCCTGGCTATGAACCTTTCGATGAGCATATGCTTTGGAACAGACTACGCCACTAAGGTCAACGATGAGGCAGAGGCTCTCATTCACACATACGGCAAGGTACTAAGCCAAGTAACTCAACCCCATTCACGATTGATCAGCGCTGCACAATTTTCGGCCAATATCTCATTTGATTCATTTTGCATTTGTTTTTTTGTTGAACTGGGAACAATGCGCCTCTGCAGATCATGGCCATCTGGACGCGACGGAGTTTGGGGGCCATCTTCCCCGCTCTTCGATGGCTAGATTTGGATGGCATAGAATCTGGCTTCGCCGACGTGGAACTCCAGCTGCGGACGAATATCACAGCTCTGATTGAGAAGAAGAAGCAGGAGATGAGCATGTGGTCGGCGGAGGATATCCAAGCCGGGGCCAACGAAGGAGACGTAATGACCAAGTTCTTGTCCATGGAAGGCGAGGATCGCTGCAGCGAGGACCAACTCATCTCCGTCGTGTTCGTGTGTACCCGACGCGAAGCTCCCTAGTCTCCAAGCTTAACATCGCACAATCGCACTTAATCTCACTCCTGAATTCGTGTACTCAACTGAAAAAACTCAAACGTTTTCACTGGTTATTGCAGACAATCCTCCTCGCCGGCACCGACACAGTGTTCAACGTCGTCACGGAAGCAATGTATGCGCTTCTGATGCATCCCAACTTTTACCACAGGGCAGTCGAGGAGCTCGACGCAGTCGTGGGCAAATCACGATTGGTCGAAGAAGCAGACATTCCCAAACTTCCCATGATTCAGAACATCATCAAGGAGACGTTCCGCATCAAACCGGCAGGCCCGTCGCTGGTCCCGCGCAAGAACTTCGAGGCATGCGAAGTAGCAGGATATCATATTCCGGCGAATACCACCGTGTTCGTGAACTGCATACCCTTAATGCGCGACCCTAGCTTTTGGGACTCTCCGGACGAATTCAATCCGGACCGTTTCATCGACTCGAAGGTCACTGTGCTGGGATCGGACTTCAACTACCTCCCATTCGGCTACGGCAAGCGGACCTGCCCCGGCCTCAACCTCGGCATGATCACGGTGCAGTACATATTGGCTGCGTGTCTGCAATGTATCAGCTGGAAGCTCAGCAGGCCGCGGCGTTTAGATATAGAAACCGACGACGATCCCCGGAAGGTGGACGACGTGATGGTAGATGGGAAGCAGCGAGTGGACCCAGCTCTGCTTGAATTTGCGCCGCAACCAGTGAAATAGGCATTCGGCGAGTTGGGACTGCAGCCACATCCGGTGGCGCAAGATTCACAGCGTTGGGAGTTGTGAGTTGCCGCTGGCCTTGCGTGAATGTCAAGATGTATAGTTTCAGATTTTGTGAACCACAAGCTTTGAGGTTGTGGACGTGAGTTCGTTAAGTACGCAACAATAATACTTAAGAAAACAAAACATAATATGCAACACAAATAATGATATTTACTAATTATTGTAAAGTGTGTACTACAAAAGTTGATGCCAACCTGAGTTATGAAGGGACACTATGTGATAATGTAATTATAACCATCTAAATACAACCACCTTGGTTACTTACTAACCCCCTCTTTTTACTATATTTAATTTCTTCTCTAATTTTTGCCTTCATGCCCATTAATTCTAAGCATTTTATGCCTTCATGGGCATGAAGGCAACAATTTTAAATGTTTGGATTGAAACATGTTTAATCCAAATAATTTATTTTGTTGTTGAGGCACTTGCTTTATATCTTTGTGAGTTCCACCAGTAAATGTTAATTGGTGGAATTATTTAAAATTTGATTTTTAGTTTGTTAATTATAAAAATATTAAGATTAAAGATTTTTTTTTTCTATTTGAATATTTATTATAATTTAGAAGTGTTTATAGGATACAAGAGTCTTATTAGAGAAAAATTCATTAATATGAAGTTTTAGTAACTCTTAAAAGCAATTATTTTAGTTAGTTTAGTATTTTTGCTATTATTAAGTATTAATATTAAGTCATTGAGACAAATATTTATATTATTTTTTGATTTATATGTATTTTTTATTAAAAAAACTATAAATATTATTTGATAATTTAAAAAAACATCAAAAAAAATTTATATTTATATAAAAAATATGATTTATATTTAATTTAAAATTATTTTTTATTAAAAATATTTATTAAAACTATATATTGTGCTTTTAAATCAATATTAATATATATATATATATATATATATATTTCAAAAAATATCTAAAATTTAAATAATAATAATTTTATATTTTTAGGATAATTTTTAAGATTTTTGTAAAAATTAGTTTTATCATCTTGAAAACCATTATGAAGAAATAAAGCAAGATTCGAAGGCTATGCAAAGTTTCTTAGATAATCAAGTATTTTTGAATATCATAGTGAAGTCAGAAATATAAAAATATAAATTCTATTAATACAAAATAGGAGGACCAACAATTAGTCTAATCCTTGTAAGAAGAGAGGTACATAAGTCTCATATGAGTTGTTGCACCTTGAATGTAGAGAGGAAGATAAGACAAAGCCTTGAGACCTCTCTAGGAAATCCTAATATATTACTTGTGAGTCTTTGTGAGGCTCAACCCTTCATCTATTAAGCAAGTTATCCTTGAGATAAAATTTATTCATTTAATTTTTTTATTTTTAAACAATCATGATTTATTCATAGAAAATTAGATTTATATGTTTTTTTATGTTATTAAAAAGATGATAAAATTATTTATCTAAAAATATAATTAATATTATATTATATTATTTTATTTTTGGTAAAAATCTAATGAACAAATTGTGACTAAGTTTTGTAATGTACAAATGTTTGATTGCACTTCTTTCACTTGTTTTATGTTTTATGTTTTATTTATTTATTTATTTATTTATTTTGTGTCTATTGCTTTTTCTACTTCATACCACTAAGTCTAAAGAACTTTTAATTGATGAAATATTAAAATTTGACGTGAAAAGTGAATTTTACTTTCACAATTTTGTTTGAATAGAAGATAATGATATAATAGGTTATTACAAATTTTGCTAAGAAATAGTTCTACTTGCTTAAGTATAAAAAAATTATCAAAAATGGATCTTCAAGAGTCTTCATCACTTACCCATTCATTGTCACTCTAATCTTAAATTTATTGACAATAACAAATAGAACTTTGTTCATTTTGATAAATAATTTTATAATTTTAAGTAACATTAAGAAATTTTATTTCACTTTTTTACTACAAAATAATGTGCTTGACTTAGATTGGCAATAAACTTTGTAACTTAGCCAAAAACTAAAGAAACATAAACCTTAGTATGAGTCATGGCATCCATTAAACACCGTGCATTAGTTGTATACATAACATCCTTTATTGTCTCTATTTCTTTAAAATTAAACAAACTCATATCTTTAGTTAATCTAACTTTACAAAGAATTGAAATAGATTTATATTCAAATATGTTAAATTTTGAAAGAATTTTAGTTATATGTTTAATTATAAAAACCTAATATATTTGTTGATTTTTTTTTCATTCATCCATTGTAATTTAACAACCATTTCCACTTTTAATGGATCTTTAATCAGTCATTTCAATGCTAGTTGCTAAAAGACTTTTAGTGGTATGCAAGAATTTCTTATCATTAATGATAATTATAAAATTATCCACATATAATGCTAACTAGCACTTTTATAATATATATATATATATATATAGATATATATATTAGAATCTATTTCATTATTACAAGAAATATTGTTTTTAATGAGATAATGATTAAGTCATTCATACCACATGCACAAAGTTTGTTTGAATTTATAAATACATTTTAATAACTTATTAACTTTATGTGAAAAATAAGATTTAATATAATTCTCCAACTAAGCCATATAATTTTTTTCATTTGAGTGACTATGAAGAATTGTAGTCTTAAGTCTATTTGATGTACATATACACCATATATTGCTGCTGGAAATAATAAAATACATAATGAATTTATTTTTACCACATGAAAAAATATCTTTGTGATTCAATACTTTTTTCTTGTTAAAAATCCCTAGCAACCAATCTAGCTTTGTAATGGATGAATATTCAATTAATATTACATTTTCTTTTTAAAATCCATTTACAACTTATTATAAAGCACTGTGAAGAAAAATCCTTCAAAATCCATATATTATTTTCAATCAAAGAATCATGTTTAGGATCTAATGTTTCTTTCTACTTCATAGCATCTTCACCATTTAAAGATTCTATAATTGCCCAAAAAATCATCATTATCAAATCAAGTAGATAAATAATTTTTAAATAAGACATGATCATAATATTTATCTGATAATTTTTCTTTTCTTGATCTTGTGATTTTTTGTAGTAGATACTTTAAGTTGTATTTCATCTAAAACATTAATAAAGCTTCTTTTATTATTATTGCTATTTTGTATTGATTTCTTTTTTATGTAAATTAATCTTTTATTAATGCAATTTTATCAAAGATAATTTTTTAACTAATATATATATTTATATATTTTTTTCGATCATGTTATAAATAATATTTTATATTTTAGAATTCATTTTAGCCAATAAAACATATTTACTACTTTTCATATTAAGCTTTTATCAATGCTTATTTAGAATATGTACATATGTTGTGCATCCAAAAATCTTAAAATGACTTAAATGATTTGTTTTATCACACCATAATATCAAAGATATTGAAACTTCTAAAGTCTTTGAAAAGATTCTATTTTGTAATTAACAATCCATGGCTATAGCATCTGCCCAAAAGAAATTTGATAATTCAAATGTATGCAATATACATCTAACAAACTGCATTAAAGTTTTGTTCTTTTTCCTGCTAACATTGTTTTTATTTTGAAATAAAAGATACATTTAATTAACATAATATTCCATGTTAAACACAAAAATGATTAAACTATTTTAATATGTATTTTTCCTTGTTGTTTAAGTATAAAGTCTTAATTTTATAATTTATTTGATTTTAAACATAAGCTTTATAAGCTTGAAATGTTTGAAATATTTTTTATTTATGCTTTAAAGAATATATTGCCATGAATCTTAAACAATCATCAATATTGATAACAAAATAAGTAAAGTTCTTAATAGATTTAGTTTGCATAGAACCACAGATATTGATGTGAACCAACTCAAGTGGTTTTGAAGCATTTAGAGTTTTATCTTTGGAAATACAATTTTTATATTGTTTTTCAACTAAAGAACTTTTGGACAAGAAGAGATGTGATATATTTAGTAAGATTTTTAAGTCAAGCTTACTCATTTCTTTTAATTTATGTTAATTGACATGTCTTAAATGATAATTTTATATAATAGTTTCTTTTGAAGATGTTTTATTTATTATAAGTGAATTTTATTGTTTAAAGTTAAGAATTTTAACTTCTATTAGATAGAGATTTTTAACTTGATTAATTTTTATTATAAGATCTTTTAGAAGTTTTGATATTATAATAATTATGAAAGAATTCAATGCTTTGACATTAAGTATTGATTATACATATGAATAATAAAGTTTTAGCTAAAATTGATAAATATATAACTTCTAGTATATTTGTAATATCACCATATTTTAATTTATTTGCACATTATTTTTGCCAGTGGCTTTATGCTTTACATTATTTCTTGTATATATAATGTAGAAGTGATTTAAAGTTTGATATGATGTGAATCACTCCTTGATTAGTGTCACATGATATGTTGCTCCAATGTATAAATATCAAACTAAATAAATTTGTAGGTTCATCCTTCTGAGTAAGAATACATAAATAAAAATTAGTTTTTTTTAAATTGAAATTAAAATATCTACTTGAAATCATATTTACTTGAGATTTATATGTATTATTTGCCTTTTTACAACAAAAATTCTACTACTAGATTGTTTATGTCATGGTTTATTACAATGATGATATATTAATGATTTATAAGAATTTATTTAATGAAAACTTTGTGCACTATGTAGTTTATTTGTTAAAATATTGTTCTTGAATTTATAATTATTTAAAAAGTTCTTTTTCCAATTATTTGTTAATTTCTTATAAAAAATGCTCTTGACTTTGATGTCTAATTAAAACTTTTCTTAGAATCTTCATATTGTTGTATTGTAGCATCTTCTAAAATTAATGAAAACAAATTAGATAGATTTTTATTCAAATCGGAACCTTGTAATGTACCAAAAGTTTTTTATGAAGGAATAAGAGTTCCTAATAATTGTACATAATATAGTTCTTTAAGAATAACTTGATACTGAAAGCTCATCAAGAACTCTTTGAAACTCTTCTACTATGGGTGTTTCTTCACTCATAGCTAATTGAGATAATTTCTTTTGTGTTGTGACTTGTTTTGTAAGATTATTTTGTTTATTTGTGGATTCTAATTTATCTCATATTTATTTAAAAGTTATAAGAGATTTTACTAAACCAACGTATTTATCACCACAATGTAATATGATATCTTTTTTCTTCCTTTAGCATCTTTAATTTTCAAAGCATTTTGTAGCATAATGCTTGCATGACTAGTATCAAATTCTATTGCATTTACAACAGCAAAAAGATCATTTAAAATAAGAATAAATTCTATTTTAATACTATAAATTTTGATTAATAGATTATAACTTCTCTATCAAATATGTCTTATAATTTGAATTTGAAGAAGACATGGTTGATTAATTTGTCCAATATTTCTAATTATCAAATCAATTATAACATAAAATCATATTTGATGCTCTAATATCATGCTAAAAGAAGAGAAAGAGGAAAACAGAATATAATATGCAACAGTAATAATGATATTTATTAATTCTTGTAATATGTAATACAAAGGTTGATGTCAACCTGAGTTATGAAGGGATATTAAGTCATAATGTAACTTGACCCACAATCTTGAATCACATTGATTTGGAAGTTTTTAGAAGAGACTTGCATTATTTTGCTTTTTTTGAGAATTGTATTAAGAAGGGGCTTTTCAAAAGATTGGTTTTAGTTATTGCTGTTCCATTTAGTTTCATGACATATATATATACACACACACGTGACTAATCACAAATGTTACTGGCCATGCAAATATTTCATGATTTTGAAAAAAAAAAAATAATAATAATAATGTTACAGTCCTGTTTTCTTTGCAACTATTCTGATGTGCACATACTTTAAAGTATTTTCTTTGCAACTGTTATGGTGTGCTTTGATTTATGTAGAGAGAGGAAGAGAATTTTTTTATTTATTGCAATACCTCAGTGTCATGTAAGTTAGGAATTAATGGGTTTGAGATTGATTTCTAACTTATATGGCACCGAGGTATTTGTTAATGGGTTTGAAAGTAAAATACTTAGAAGAGTAGAATTCTTTTTGTTTGCAGTATAAATCATCTACTAGTTTTTATTCAATTGCATGCAATTCAAAGAAATCAAAACTGAGTCATTTATTATTGTGAGAAAGAAGATAAGCCTGTACATTTTTGCAAGCTATGACAACAGATTTAGCCATTTTTCCTGGACTACATCACAGTATTCTACATTCACCTATTTTTCTGGAAGAGAAGAGAGAAGATTTAATCCTCGCCCTGCCTCTAAAGATATCTCACCGGGCAAATACAATAGTAACGAAGGATACTACTTGAGCACAAACCTCGCATTCAATCTAAACACTACATCAGCCATCAGGCGACACCCTTGTCTTTGCTATCAACATATACCGTTTCTGCGATTCATTTTCCATCCAATCTAAAACCATCACTGTGCGTCGCTAATCGAGATGGCCACATGAAAAAATAAATGCCCTATTCCTGATACCTCAGACTCCACTTGAATACGAAGCTAAATACTACGCACCGTTCTCATTGCAGAACGAAAGCTCCTCAATTTGATGTTATGAGCTTCAATACAATGATACGAGATGTCTACCTGGGACCCCAGTCGAGCTCTATTCACAAGTGCAAGACTCTGCTCCTAGTGCCAATTGCCTCAGCAGGGTGCCTTTACAGTGGTTTAAGAATGAGTGATGAAACGCATTGGTATGGAGAAATCAATGTCGTCCAGTCTCCAAATCAGCCGCTGCGCCTCCCACGTCCAAGGGAGTGATATGTCCGTTAGGACGGTGGGAGCTCATCATCGGCACAGCTCGAGGACCGTGTAAGCCGTGGCTGAAGATTCCTTGCGGCTCATACTCGTAGGGGTACCCAGCTGTTCAAAACAAACAGGGTGATTACAACTAAAATTAGCACATTGTTGTCAAATACTTTTCAAGCCAAGGAGAAAGCTTTGACAATGCAAGCAAAATTAACTCTACTTTGGGTTCAAACAGCACACGTTTCAAGTGACTTCAGCGTGGGATTATACAGCAGATGTAAACTGGTTGTTGACAACTTACCCCACTCTCGAGCGTAGATACTTGGATATAATTGTCTGTAGCAGACGTAGGCAATGAAAAGTCCTGCAAAATTCACAATACCAAAGCTTTCAGCACTTTAAAGGAGGAAAGTGCATTTCGATGTGGGCGAAAGATATCCCGTTGAAAAGATCGTGAATTCATTTAACATTTATGTGACATCTTAGTTTTTATAATTGGTAGTGTAGATATTCACAGCTTATGAAGTTGTTCAATGCAACATCTCAGCATGATTCCCGTGTAAGGTCCAGTACGAGCAGGGGGGTTTTCAGTTCTAAATCACATATTATCATCTTAACGTTGCTCACCAAGAAGGGCTGCAGCAATAATGTCCACCCATCGATGCTGGTAATCGTTAACCCGAGTGATTCCAATCAACCCAGCTGCTAGTACAGGAAGCAGGACCCAGAAAACTCTTGATGTATAGCCTCTCCTGTCGAAGAGACTCAACTTCCCAGCGAAGTAGAGTGACAAATAACCAAGACCAGCAAAAGCCCCTGTGACAATACCAAACAGATCGTAGTGACGATTAGGAAATATTAACACTAATGTGCAATGTCAAACAGAAATCCCGCTTTAGACTGCTAAAGAATCTGTCAATCACGGTGCAGCTTTCGACGAGTTCATTGAAAACAGAGAAATGTGAGTCACTTACATGAGACGTGGCCGCTCGGGAAACTTTTGTAAGCATCACGGAAAGCCCTCTCGTCGCCGGGATGGCAGATAACTCGCCGCTCCAAATCAGCCGTGTATTCCTGTTGGAAATTCAAACAATAAGCATGATATTCTATCTTGGTGTCTACAAACAAAAATAGAGCAAGAAGTAAAACGGCACGAGGCACAGATGGTTCGCAGAAAGCCATACCGCTTTACCATCAGGAAAGCACCGGTGGAAAAAGTCCGGGCGCGGCATTCCAACCAGATTCTTGATAGAATCTGTGAAGAGGGCTGTGATCACGATGGCAGTTGCAAGCCCTGCACATCAACAAATGCTAAATTGTAAATAATTCGCATGGCGAATTGTCCTTGATCAAAACTTCAAAAGTGTAATCTCGCAAGTCAGAATGTCCTGTATGTGGCAATTTTATCGACTGCTCACCTAGGAAGGCAGAGTGAAAATCTCGAATACTCCTATTCTTGATGAAAAGGACAACGAAAATGAGGAATGGCAGGACCACAGCAACAACCTGATAAGGCATCCAACAATAAGGTAAGTACCATGTGTACTGAATATACAGAGCATCGAAAAACGAGGTCAAATTATAACGAGAACAATATTTGCGGAACCAACTGCGCGTATGAATGAATGTTCCTAATGAAGAGAGACTTGGCTACGTACCCCAACACTCCATGTCGGGACAGTCTCTGGCTTCCTGGGGTACCGCAGATCTTCCATCATGGGTTCATTCACAAAACGATGGAACGGTGGAATGATGAAGTACATAATCAGTTCTAAGGCGATCATCACCCCTATCCACAACCAATCCCGCAAGTGATGCTTGATCAACGACACCAGGCTCACTTTAACGGTCATTCCGTCCATGGGACCTGCTGCGTAAGAATTGTGTCCACTGTAATGTCTTCCTGTACATCACAAAATAACAAAAAAAAAAAAAAAAACAACAACAACAACAACAACGTTCAGTGGGGTCTCCACGTTTGCAACCATGAAACAAACTACCCAGTGTCAACCAGTTCGACGATCGCGTGAACTACGAAAGCCGAAGGTCACGAAACCTTCAGTGGCTCACGGCTTACTAGCACGGTGCATGATTCTTAAAAATAAAAATAAAAATAAGAAAACAAAATCCAGAACAATACGAGTAGTTCAAAGCTACCCAAATTGGGTTTCGAGACACGGCAAATACCGTGGTGGTCGTCCATTTGGGGTTCCCTGCTTCCTGCCGCTCAAACTTCACCACCAAGCGATGAACCCTGGCAGCTGTATGTTTCGTGGAGACACCGAGTATGTCGCGAGAACGAAAGCAAATCCTCCACCTCTAGAAACAACTTGCCAGAGCCTGCTGTTGGGTGAAGTTGCGACCAGATGCAAACACTAGTCGAGGAAACGAACTGTCGCCATTGCCGCGATGATCCACCGACCGAGTAAACTCAAACGGCATTAATGATCCCGCGGTCGTCTTCGTAGCGTGATTACAGAACCATGCCTCCTCTACTACACATCAGAATCCGAGTGTCGAATCCACGAGAACACACGGCAATCTGCGAAGCTCATGAAGTAGACAACATTGCGATTGCGAAAAGATATAACAGGGGCTTCCGAACTCGGTGGTTCCCATCAATAGAACGTGGTTCTCCTTCACAACGGCGGCGTTCCCATCCTACCCCAGGAACGAAATTCAGAATCCGTTCCCGTCGTTCCCCATCGGGATCTTCCGGCATTTCGCCGGAGGGATGACGTCATCAGACAGGTGGCGATCTCCGAAGCGTGGATGACTTATTAGGCGCCACATGGACACCTCGTGGCAGAGCTGTGGACGTAGTCATTCCATCACGGTTCCATGCAGAGTTCGATCCATGGCGTGTCGGCGGAATCTTGGATGAAAAATGGATGTAATACACCGCATCTATCGTTCATCCAAATGGGTGGTTGACTTGCGCTACGAATGTGGAACTCATATCAGCCTCATATGTCAATGGAGGTTCTATCATCGTGGGATTAGACCACCCGAGGAGGTGACACATAATGTTCGCGGCTATGGGTGGAGCTATGAATGGAGTGCCTGAAGCCGTGTTCCGGCCCAGACAAAACCCAAAATTAGGGATATGCTTTACAAATACAGGCAGTTGGTAAGAAGCTCTAGATATACTTTACAATGGCTGATAATAATAATAATTATACAAATGGATTAATGCTGCTTTTATTTAAGCATCTCAAGAGGTGCTTTGGGGCGGTGGGGTATCACCGCGGCTTCTAATGCCGTATGCGGACACGTGGATTCAGTGCCTCATTGTCGTTCTAAAGTGGGGATGGGTATTCGGAGCCTGCTTTGTGGATTGGATTCTGTTTTATTGTGGGTTTTTTTTTCTTTTTTTTTAAGAAAGCCAAACCACATCAAGTATGAAATAGATATAGAGTTGGTATAAATAGTAAACTTAATAGATTGTTTTTGGAATGATGGGAATTTTATCACTAACAGGACGTGGTTCATGGTATTTGTTCATTTAGTTTGCATGCAAATTAACTGTGTTTTTAATGCAACTGAACAACAAAGGAGGAAATTCTGCATCAAGTTCACTTTGATATATATATATATATATATTTATTTATTGATACATACATCCATACATACATATTTTTTGTAAGCACACATAACTTGTTGACACTTTCATGAAAATAATTACTGTTATCAAGTTCATCACATGCACCAATTTTGATTTTTAAAATCAAAGATGCATCTTTTAATGAAAAGCATTGTGCAAAAATATAAAACACAAATTGTATCCATATTGATAATAAAATAATAAAAGAAAAACAAAAAAAAAATATATATATATATATATATATATATTAATTTTAGTAAATTTTAAAAGATAATTTTTGAAATAAATAAATAAATATGGTAAGATTGTTTTGAAGTTTGTGATAATTTAAAAATTCATGTATTTTATCAATTTTAATTGTGTAATCCAAAAGCCATATTTGATTTTCAATTTTGGTGTTCTTTTAATAAAAATATTTATGTACAAGCACTGAAATATACATATACAATTATATTTCTAAACCAAGCTTTTTCACACCACTTGCATATTAATAATAATTATAACTTGACGTATTTGTAGAAACTAGAAGAAGATGATGAAGAAAAACAACAAAAAATAAATTGATTATATACATAGCAATCTTCAAAAATTTGAAAGAGAGAAATATACAATAATGTTGTTCATCAATTGAAAGTTTCTGAGAAAATTGAGTCAATAAGTAAAATTTTAAAAACATCATAAGAATAATTATAATCTGAAAAAAAATAGATACATAAAAAATAACATGTGTGCATATATATATATATATATATATATGCATGTGTTCCTAATAATATTAATAATCTATTAAGGACATGAATCTCAAAGAAAGAAAATTTCAATACATTCTTATGTTACTTGAAAAGATTAAAAAATCACTCAAAGATAGTAATATATTGAATTAGAATAGCTATTGCTAAAGACAAGAAGACTAGAAAGTCTTGAAATAAGACTAAGGACTAGAAAGGTCCTGATAAGAGTGAAGAAGGCTTCACTCTTACTTCTATATATACTATCCAACTAAGAGCTATGTGATAATATTCTATAGGACCTCTAATACATGTCCAATTTGTGAGACACTTGTCTTAACTTACAAGGCAAGTTTCCTATATGCATGCCACATTGTCAAAGAGAAGAACTTAATGAAAGTAAATAAAAAAGTATAATAAAATAAAAATAAAGAAGCATGTATATTAAAAAAAAATTGGAATGACTATTGCTAAATAACAAGGAAAGTAGAGACTCTTGAATCTAAACTAGAAGTAAGAAAGGAGTTGAGAAGAGTGAAGAGGTCTTCATTCTTGCCTCTATATATACTATCTAACTAGAAACTATGTTGTCATACTATATTTGCTTATAATATGTAAAATTTAGTTAGGACATATAATATGTTCATAAGTCTTGGTGTATGTTAGAATGGTTAATAGATTAATTTAAAGAGAGTGGATATAAGAAACTTTATTTTGAGTTTTATCTTTTATTATTATAGCATTTTAAAAAGATTATAGGACCTAAATATTTAATATGAAGCTTTGAGAGGAGATTAGAGCCTAAAGAAGAAAATCTTAACTACTAGGGGGCTTATTGGGAGGGATAAAAGCAAGGCATGGTTGGATGAAGGCAAAGAATGAGAGTCTTTATTCCCATTGGTCGAAGGCCATGCCCAATGGTGTCAAGGACAAGAACTCGATGAAAAAGCAATTCAGACAAGTGAGCCTTCACTTAAAGAAAGGTAACAAAATATAAATAAACAAGTTTGTATATTGAAAAAGAAACTGGAATGACTATTGCCAAAAGACAAGAAAACTAGAGACCCTTAAAACTAGACTGGAAGCAAGAAAGGAGTTGACAAGAGTGAAGAAGGCTTCACTCTTGTCTCTATATATACTATCTAACTAGGGGCTTCGTGGCAACGTTCTATAGGACCTCCAATATGTGTTGATTTTGTAGGCCACATGCCTTGACTTGCAAGGCAAGTTTTTCTACATGTGGGCCACATAGTTAGCTTGATCTTCAAGCTAACAACATGTGTGGCACATGGCTAACTTGTTCACCACGTTTCTAATCCAAAAAGTCAATTAAAGATACCTATGAAGTCAAAGCAGTAACTATGAAGCTTGTAGGAAGCTTCTATATTAAATACTATAGAATTAACTTACTTTTACTTACTTTTACTTACTTCCACCTATTTGTATATGTAATTACTAGCTTACATGAGTGTGTCCGTGACATTATCTCCCCTTCTAGGCATGAATTCCACAAGGAGCGGTCATCATATGTTGAGGAAATCTATGATGCGACGAATTGTATTCGCCACATACTCTGATCTTTGTTCTCTTTGAAGATGATTGATAGGGCCTCTCAACCATCGGTAGTGTCCCATACCACGATGGAAAGACCACCCAATTATTTGATCATTTTTGAGGCATTTATAACTTCCTTTGAATAGATCATTTGGAACACCATCAAGAGTTGATCCTACCTCTAGCAAAAATACCAAATATCGAGAGTCCCTTCCCAAATCATGATACCAAACGCATTATATCTCGCCATCTATTCAAGGAAGAACATGTCATTCTTAAAGATCTTTATCTCGATTGCGTCGTCTTGAAGGTTGTGATAATTGTAATGTCTCATCCGGCAGGTCAGCAAATGAAGGCTCTTGAGTCGAATCCGCTGGTTGTTGGTTCTCCATCTCTTGAGCATGACAACTACAAAGAAGCTACAAACAAGGATTGAAAGTAGAATGTTATCTTGCCTAGATGTTGTTTCTTTTATAAAAAAGATTTTCATCTTGATTTTGATGGATGTCGTCGATGAAAAGCCTCCACTACCTTTGCTGCATTTGTAAGATTCTTTATTGGCTCCCATGTGCGTTCACTAATATCATATCCATGCCAATGGACAAGATATTCTAATTTATTTCGGCGTCGCTTTGAATCTAAGACTTCTTCTACTTCAAACTCTTCATTATTGTCCACTTCTATAGGAAGTGGTGGAGCTTGTTGTCTTCTTAGTATGTCCACTGTCTTGTATGGTTCAAGAAGAGACACATGGAATACTAGATTGATTTTCATTGACTCCAGTAGATGTAACGATATGCAACTGGATTGATTTGTGTAGAAATAGAAAATGGTCCAAGTCTTTGATAGTCCAACTTGTCACAAGGACGAATGGTCTTGATATTACGACAAAGTAGCCATACCTTATCACCCAAGAGGAATGGTGGTTGTTCCTTTCAATAGACATCTGCATTGAACTTTTGTTGTTCTTGAATTTAAATTTAGAGGGATCATGAGATTTAGAAGAATTATTCTTGATATCATGAACAAGAGGGACTGAAGACATACTTAACTGGACTTGCTTAAGAAAAGTTAAATCAACAGTCAATGTTGATTTTATTACTCGAAGATGAAATTGCTTCGGCTTCAAGAGAACCATTCTTTGTTGCTCAAAAGCTGCATCTCTTTCTTTTGGTGCAAGATAAGAACGTCTAGACAAGGCATCGGACAAACCTTATTTTTTTTCTCGCCGATAAGTGATAATGAACTCGAATCTTGATAAAGACATGCTCCAATGAACTTGACGACGATTTAATATGCATGCTGACATAAAATAATCGAGGTTCTTGTGATCCGTATACATGGTGACTGGACTGGAAGTGCCTTCTAGATAATGATGTCATTTTTGAAAAGAATCCACAATTACATGAAGTTCTTTGTCATGGATCTCATAATTAATTTCTACTGCTGAGAATTTTCTTGAATGAAAGGCTAGTGGATGAAGTTTGTCATCTGTTCCCATTTGTGACAAAATCGCACCCAGAGCAAAGTCTGATGCATTTGTTTCCATAAAGAATGCTTTGAAAAAATCAACACGATACAAGATTGGTACAGAAACAAACGCTATCTTCAAAGATTCAAAAGCAACTTTTACTTTTTGATTCCATTGGAGTTTATCTTTACAAGTCAAACGTGTAAG